AAAAAAAAACAATGAAACTGTTATAATTGGACGTCGCTATGAAAAGATGGAAAATTTTTTTACCGAACCATGTCTGTCTTCAATATTGGAAATTTATAAAGTCTCCAATCTTAGCCCTTTAGAGTATTGGTATCTTAAAAATATAAAGGAAAAACTTGTAAGATTGCCTTTAGAAGATAACAGTAATTCTTCTGCTGTTATTTTGCCATTTTTACACTTAAAATAGGTAATATTATTATTTATTTATTTTATTTTATTTCATATTTATATGTACATATTTAAAACATCTTAATGCTCAATTTTATTTTTCAATATTATATTTCATTCAATTTATTGCTTTATAATTCAAATAGTAAAAATTATATTAAAAAAAAAAATGTTCATTTTTCTACTTATTTCTAATATTGTCTATAGAACTATAATAATAAGTTGTATAATAACCATAAAATGTATATAAAGTATAATAAGTAGTTAAAAAGCATATAACTTCATACATTTGTTACTAAAGAATTCAAATCAAGAAATTGAATTTTTCTAACATATATTGAATATTCATTACAAGTAATACGAAAAAAAAATACACCATATTATTATTTAGTAACAATAAAATGTGATTTAGGTCCTGGATAGTTGTTCTATTTTCTGACGAGAACAATGTATAACATGTACCCACAAAATGGTTTAAATACAAGAAGAATAAAAATCATAAAGTTGGGAAATGTTGGTTTCCCTTTACGAAATCAGAATTTCCCAATTCTAAAATCAATTTTAAAACCCATCAAGTTGAAAAAATGATACATGTTCGTTACACTCCAAACACAAATGATGGAAAATGGTTCAATGGTAAAAAAATATCTGGTCCTTTTAGTGAGTTTCTAAACACTTATGTCTAGTTGATTATTGACTAATAAATATTAATTGTTAATTACTAGGTAAAGAAAAAATAGCAAAAGAAATGGCAAAATCTTTATCTGGAAATGATGACAGTGATGATTTTGAGACAATGGACTCTGAATGTAGTGATTTTAGACAAGCAGATTCAGAGAATAGTGATACTGCTGCTGATATAATTACAGGAACATCTTATAATGTGAAATCTAAGAAAAATCCAACCAACTACAAATATAAAGAAAAGGATAGTACATTAAAAGATAATAACTTTGTAGCAGTAACACTTTTGAGTGGTCCATCAACATCTACACATGATGTAGTAAATAGCCCTAGCTCTGAAAATACAAGTGAATCATTGCCAATTATTTCAAAAGATGCAGTGTTATATTCAAATGTAGATACTAATCATACAAATAGTTATGAAAAAGAAGATATTTTTTCAGGTTAATTATTTATTTTATAATAAACCTAACTTTTATATTTAATTTATTGTTATTAATTTTTAATTTATCATTTTATTAGTCGATTCATCTACATGCAATAATCTTGTTTCAACAAATGCTGAAGATAAAAGTGTATCAAATCAAATAAATTGTTTCGAAGTGGTGAATAATGACCTGCGAGAAATTGATTCAAGTATTTTATCAACTATTATTTTTCATAAATACAAATAAATTTATAATTCATATTTATAGATCATGCAATGGAATTGGAGGAATTATTAGGTAATTTCGTAGAGCAAGAGCATCACAACAATTTGAGTATTGGATCTCCATCGAATCATGAAAATGAAATGATACAATATGATAATGATGTATCAGGTAAAATAAATCTTGAAACTTTATATAAATCATATCTATATTGGTTGTAAAATAATGTTAAATTAACAATACAATTTTACAGTAGGGGAAAGGTGTACAAAGTGGTCATAGCGGGTAAAGTGGTCATGTCTTATTATTCTGTTGGAAATAAATAAACAGCTGGTTTCATCACGTGGATTGGTTCATTGTTATCATATTTATCAACTGATAAACCACTATTGATAAAAACATTTACCGTTTCGGTTTAAAAAAAAAAATCATTCTTGTATGCTGTTGATGTAAGGTAAGTGCTCTGAATAAATAATTATATATTATAAACATAGTAATTAATATACCCAAATTATTATTTTTCGAAATCTACATTAGTTTTTATATATTATAGAATTAGCTTAAGTTTAATTAGTTAATGGGATTAATATTTTTTTAAATAGTAAATTAAACATTATTAAAAGGGCAAAGTGGTCACTATGGTGACCAGTTTACCCATACTTCAAATATTTTTCATTTTGATAATGTTTATTTAATAATTTTAATTGTATATGCATGTTAATTCATTTTTTGGTGTAGTTATTATATTATAAGAACTAAAAAGACTTCTATAAACTAAATTACTGCTTAACAATGTTAGTGGTAAATAAATATCATTAATGAGTTAAAGAAAAAAACTATAAAATTAATAACAAAAACTTCTGAAACAAATAATTCTTAAATACCTACAATCATCAGTATGTATTATTTTGTATCTGTTCAATTATAGAAATGTTAAGATGCCTTCCAAATACAAAAGAACTTCAAATCAGCAAAGCTGGAATGCAGTGAGTATGAAAAAAGCAATTGAGTCGGTTAAAAATAAAAAAATGTGTTATAATGAAGCTGCTAAATATTTCAACGTCCCAAGAACAACATTAATAAGAAGAGTTAGAGATGTTAATATTGATGCAACAGGTACATATTAGTATTATTATATTATAATATACTTAGTAACCAAAATATACAATATAAAGGAGGTATATTATATTTGTTTAGGTAACAAAAAAATTCTTGGCCGATTTCGTTCTGTTTTCACTAATGACCAAGAACAAGAAATTGTAAATTATCTGATTGATATGGAAAAAAGATTTTATAGACTAACAATAAACAATATCCAAACATTAGCTTTTGAATTAGCTGAAAAAAATAATATTTCGCACAACTTCAGTGTTACAAAAAAAAAATGGCTGGTAAAGACTGGGTAAAAGGATTCCGAAAGCGCCATCCAGAGATAACACTTAGATCTCCAGAAGCTACATCATCTGCTAGAGCTCAGGCGTTTAACCGTCCAAATGTAATGAAATTTTTTACTATTTTACAAAATGTACAGCAAAAAAACAGCTTCTTACCACATAGAGTTTTTAATGTTGATGAGACTGGACTAACCACAGTACAATCAAAATGTTCCAAAATTTTGGCATTAAAAGGAAGAAGACAAGTAGGTTCTCTAACTTCAGCAGAGAGAGGTGTCTTGTCAACAATTGTAGTCTGTATGTCAGCTGGTGGAAATTTTATACCTCCCATGATAATTTTTCCTAGGGTGAGAATGAAAGCTGAACTACAGGATGGTGCTCCTCCAGGAACTATTTTTCATTGTCACCCATCTGGATGGATGCAATTAGACATTTTTACAGAATGGTTTCAACATTTTATTAATCATGCTAAACCAACAGCAGAAGATCCAGTTCTGCTTATACTAGATGGCCATATGACTCACACAAGGAATTTAAAGTTTATTGATTTGGCAAGGAAAAATCATACCACTGTTGTATGCTTACCACCACATTGTAGCCACAAGTTGCAGCCATTGGACGTTTCTTTTATGGGACCACTAAATACCTTCTATGTTCAGGCAATTGAGAAGTTCCTACGAAATAACCCAGGAAGAGTTGTATCTCAATTTCAAGTGAGCAAACTTTTCGGTGAAGCATACATTAAAGCTGCAACTCAGATGACTGCCATAAATGGTTTCAGAAAATGTGGAATTGTACCATTAGATCCAAATATATTTGACGATTCTGATTTTATTGCAGCTCAAACTACAGAAATTGCTTTAATAGATCCACCAATAGCTGAAATTGCTGCAATAGATCCACCAATAACTGAAATTTCTATAAGTGAGAATAAAACAAGTAACAATCAAGAAGAAACCCAACCTTGCTCATCGTTTACTTTTAGTCCAGTACATGTCACTCCTATACCTAAAGCAAGTATTAAAGCACGGTCAACGAACAGAAAAAAAGGTACAGCTGCTATTTTAACATCTAGTCCATACAAAGCAGAGCTAGAAGCTTCCAAAGCAATAACACCACCAAAAAAACGCTTATTTAATAAAAAAAAACCATTATGCAAACGACAAAAAAAGTCTAAAAACACTGCTACTAATGATGAAGATAGTGATGCTGAATGTCCATATTGTGGTGGAACATTTTCTCAATCCAAATCAAATGAAGGCTGGGTAAGATGTTCAAAATGTATGAAATGGTGTCATGACGGTTGTGCTGGGTGTGAAGGAGACAGCTTCATTTGTGATTTTTGTAAGACACTATCAAAACTTTATTAAGTTTTGTATTTTATTTTATTTTGTTACCTACTAAAAAAGTATTAAGTTGCCAAGTCTATAATTTTAAAAATATAACCTAACTGAAAACTTAGTTGTTTACAAAATTGTTAATGTTTCTACCAAGAAAGGTAATTACTAAGTCTGATTAAATTGTTAATTTAATTTAAAAATATAACTTAACTGAAAATTTAGTTGTTTATAAAATTGTTAATGTTCCTACCAAGAAGGTAATTACTTAGTCTGATTAATTGTTAATTTTAATAATATATCCTAATTGAAAACTTAGTTGTTTACAAAATTGTTAATGTTTCTACCAAGAAGATAATTACTAACTACTAAGTCTGATTAATTGTTAATTTAATTTAAAATGTTGACCTAATAAAAAACATAAAGTTGTTGTTTATAAAATTGTATTTGTTACTATGATTTATGTATTTTATATTATTTATTTATTTATTTGTTTGTTTTAAAAAGCTTATTAAGTTAATATGTTTATTTTATAAAATAGCTTTGTTACCCACCAAAAAATATCAAGTTTGATTAATTTGTTAATTAATTATAAAAATATTAATAAGAGACCCAAAGATTGAAATGAAGTTACTTATTTATCAAAGAAAAGTTGTAAGAATGTAATGTAAGTTATATTATATATATATATTTATGATGATATTTTGAAATAATGAATAATAATAAAAAGTTTAAACCGGCGGTCAAAGTGGACATTGACTGACCACTTTGAACGCCTAGGTGGACAAAATGAACAGTTTTGTACTTTTTAAAAAAATTAAAATAACTTTTTATTTATTTGTTTAAAATAATTTCTGATTGGAAATTATGATTCTTAACAAGTTTAACTAGACAATCTTTAAGGTTACACAAAAAAAAAATAAAATCCTAAAGTGTGACACTGTGTTGAACCTTAGGGTGGCCGCTTTGGACACCCTTCCCCTATTAATAATTGTAATATATTTTAATTTAGAATTATGTTTATGTACACATAATAACTATATTAAAACATATTTTTACAGATATATCAGCTGTAGAATCTACAAAACACAATTGTAATTGCAATGATGAATTCAAAAAAATGAAATTAAGCATTGAAAAAAGCCAACAACAAATTTTAACACAACTTTTATTAAATAATTCAAATCAAATAAAAGTCTGTAATTATTTGGAATCAATGGATAAAAAAATCAACAAAATATTAGAAAGTGATAAGAAACTCCGTAGCTCTGCAATTCCATTGCCAAAAGTTCCGGCACCCTTTTTAGGTTTATTACCTATTGCGACAAATAATAACCTTGAAATGGTTGAAAAATTATTATCATCAACCCACGAATATTCTCTAACAAATAAAGAAGAATTGGTATTAATAATAAATATATTATAATATATACATTATATTACAATTATAAACATGTGATATAATTTTCTTATTTTTTTTTTAGAAAAAATATGTATCACTTCGTGTAAATGCATTGACTTCAATAAACCTTGCAGTTAAAACGGCTTTTAATCTATGCATGACAAGAGAAATTGGTGAGCAATTTAGTTTCCATGGCAAAACAAAGAAATCTTTTGTGGCTCTTGAAATATACAAAGTGTTATCAGGCAATTAATTTTTCCTAATACCAATACCTACTATAGATACTAGTATAAATTATATATAATATTAATATGTAGTTAAATATATTTAGGATATAATCACATAGGTGTGCTATAGTATTATCAACAATCATACAAAATTGTCAATAGAATTATAAATTGTATATAGTAAATTATTACTATAATAGCATAATTTCTTTAATTATTATAATAATATATAATATATTATATACATTTCAATATTGTTTGTTTGTTATTATGCTTCATTTATTTAACAAACATTTATTTCTCTCATTCTTTCAATAGTCTTATTAATTTTGACTTCAGTATGTTTATTTTCCATTTACAAGCTGGTTTTACCTACTTATATTATGACATTTGCTAACAGATTATTCTTTTTTAGATCCAAAAATATGATTTCAATATGTATATTGTTTATATATATATATATATATATATATATTATATTTACAATAAATATTGTAGTCTAATTATTTGGCTTCTTTTACATTATTTTGACCTATTTGAGTTTTAATCATTTGATTATGTATTTATATATTTTAGAATCACTTTCTGGTTGGATAAATACCACCCAAGACCTCAAGGTATTTAAAGAAATAATATCAAATATTTTAAAACATTGCCGTCCAATTCAACATCAGAAATCACCTTTACAGATATAATCTTCAAGATAGTAGTTGGCATAATTTTATACTTTTTATATTTAAAATTTATAAGCAAGTGTACTTATACAGGAATAAAAAAAGATTTTATTATACTATTAATATTTGTGTTACTTGTATTTTTTTTAAAATTATCCTTTTTATAATTTGTATTTATGTAATTTTTAAAACTATAATATAACTACTTATATTATATAGATTGTTTATTCAATTTAAATTATATGGTTTAATTTTATTATTTAAAAAAAAAAAAATTACACATGTAATGATTTATGATTAGCAATGAATGAATAGCAAATGATTAGCAACATCACTAACGTATGTACAGTATAATAAATAATGAATATATTATTATACAGGTAGGTATGCAATTATTTTATTTAAAATAATTAATAAAATCCTATACAAGAGTACAAGACATGTATAATATTTTATGTTTCAAAATTTGAATAAATATGATTGACTTTAGTGTACATATATATAGGTATTATAATAATAGTAAAGTATATAATATATAAAGTTTGTGGTTACACAAAATTGAAATCATATTATAAAAAAATGAATATTTAAGTGTTAAGGGCAAGGTTAAAAAAGGTTGTTGGTTAATACGTAGGACAAGTATAAATAAATATTGTAAGGGGTGTGAGTACAAACTTTGCTCCCCCTCACAAATAGTTATCATTAAACAAAATACGAAGTCTGGTCACTAAATTTTAACTTTTGTAGAACCGTCAATAAATGAACCTTACAACCGTCCCAACACCGAATTTGCACTTTAACGGAACCGTCAATAAATGAACCTTACAACCGTCCCAACACTCCCAAAACCAAAATTGCACTTTTGTGGAACTCGGTGCACTCCATGTTAAATCTGGTATGCAAATTACTGTTTAGACCGTGTTTGGAACGGGATTTGAACGCAGTGCAGCACCGCTATTATATAAATGATTGTAAACCGTGTGTGAACCTAAATTGTTACTCGGGAAGTATATCTGTACATTCTACTGCCAAAGACCATTTTATACTTCAAAAACCTAAAACTACATTTAGCCTACCAACAAATGATTTTTTATTATACAATGGACCATTGAGTATTAAAGAAGCTAAACTGAAAGATGTGAGAGATTTGGCATCTAAGTATGTTCCTCCTGAATATTTATGGTATTATTCAAATCTCAGATCAGATGAAAATGAAGATAATGAAGCATTAACTAATGAAGACTGAATAACATAAGAATATTAAGTTTAAATTTCAAAATAATGTATTATTATGTTTTAAAAGATTTGACTTTCATTTATATTTTGTTAATTTTGTTTTTATATGAACTTGTTTTTAATATGTGGATTGTGGAACTTAACCATATTTTATTGCTCATTGTTACATAAAGTCACAAGTTATTTTATTTCAATATTTTGTTTAAAAATTATGTATTATTATATCTTAAAAGGTTTTACTTTCGTTTATGTTTTGTTGAATTTGTTTTTATATGAACTTGTATCTAATACATAATAATATGTATTAATAATAATAATAAATTCTTATTATTTGGGAGCACACACACATTCCAAAATATATAAAATTAAGTTAAACAATATACCTAATAGAAACATTTTACAATAATATTAATTTTAATAATAATATTACATAATTATCAAAATATAACTTTGTAAATAATATTACGATGCAACAACCAGACATCTCCTAAGTATTATATTTTGGTTTTGGCTATTTTAAAATTTTATTTTCACCATTTTAGTATTAGTCTCTATTATAATCATTAAAATTATATCAAAATATGATTTTTGTTAAATTATAAAGTTAAAATAGTTTTTTGTTAGTCCTGAAAAATTTAGTTTATTGGAGATGTCCTGTTGTTGCCCCCAGGTCTTCAATTTAATTCAACCACTAATGAAATTGATGGGTTTGTTGATTCTGGAGATAATAAGAGTCAACTACTTGCTGATCACGCTCTTGTATTTATGGTCCGTGGGATTAAAAAAAAATTTAAGCAGCCAATATCTTATACATTTTGCCAAGGAGCTACCAAACAACATGATCTTGTGCGACAATTGAAAGAAGTAATTATACAATCTTAATTTTTAAATAATATACATTATACAATATACACTATAATTGTTTTAAATAGGTAATTTGTCAAGTCCAAGCGACTGGTTTGTGTGTGGTTGCCACTATATGTGATCAGAGATGTGCAAATGAAGGTGCTATAAATATTTTAAAAAATGAAACTAAATCATATTACGTAAAACATCAAAAGGACTACCGGGATGACATTTATGAAATTGAAGTTAAATCTGACGATGGTGTAGAACGCATTCCTATTGTACATTTGTTTGATGTACCCCATCTTTTAAAATGTACAAGGAATAACCTTATGACCAAAGATTTATGCTTTTCTTCTGATAGAGTCAAACTAACTGCCAAATGGGATCATTTAAGGCAATTGTACAATTTAGACAGTCTCATAGCAGACTGTAAAATGCTTCCTCGTTTAAGAGGGCGTCACAGTAGAAAAAAATCGACCGTAAAACATGCTTTCGTACTTCCAATAGTTCTCAAGCCTCGTTGATCGTAGAAACATGATTTTGGTATCAAAATAATCACGAGAAGTTGTACTAAATATTCTTGGAACAGAATTTTAAAATATTTTTTCTAACCAATTTTATTTGTGTTTGAAGTTTGTAAAATTTTCATTTTTTTAAAAAATTATATAAAATCAGCAAATTTAGATATCAAAAATCTGTTCCTAGAATATTTAGTACAACTTCTCGTGATTATTTTGATACCAAAATCATGTTTCTACGATCAACCAGGCCTGAGTACTATTAGAAGTACGAAAGCATGTTTTGGCAAAAAAATTATAGTGACAGCGTTCTGAAATAGTACTTCTTCCACCACCCCGCTTGCATAAGCAGCCGAACCGCATCATCGGTCAAAACTGGTTATTTATCGTAGCCGCGCACGGGTTATAAATAGCCAAATACGTCAATACGAAAATAATAATTTTGTCAATGAAAAATATTATTTTATTTTTCGATGTTATAAATCGTATTCTTATTACTATCGTATTTGGCGCAAAATGGAACTACATAATATTATATTGTAAAAATGTCACACATCAGCTAGAAAACGTACGATTTAAACAATTTTTTTTTTCAATTATAGACAATTGCTCCATAAAATTAGCGTAGTGATATTCAAGACGAATTTTTTTTAAATTTAAATTAGTTTAACTGTATAAGTAAAAAAAGGTAGCCAAGTGGGTGTCGCTCTGCTTTACAGTAGGTTCCAAGTGAGTCTCTACATACCTACTGGATTGTGTTAAATTTGAATTCAGTGATATAATATTGTATAAGAAAAACGAATCCTAACGAAGACGAAGAGTCAGCCTATGATATATTATATTAAAATTGTAACTAGAAAATAATTTAAAATTTGACAATTTTTTTTCAAAATTCAAACATAAAAAACTTATAAAGAAATCTTGGGCACGTTGATTTTTAATATTTTTCAACTGCTATTGTAACAATAATATGTGCAGGAACCTTGAATTAAATTTTCACGCTTCTTGACCCAACAAATTTATAATTACTAATTTATCAACAACTATAGAAAAAAAATTGAAAATGTCCGTAAACAGCTCAGAAAAAGTGAAAATTTTTTGAAAATAGTATTAAGTATAGGAATTGATACAATATATATATATAGTATAAATTATTAAAAGTATCTACAGTTATTCGTTTTTTTAATTACAACATAAGAAAATCGTTAAATGATAAATAGAGTGAATATCCAATGTTGTAAAAATCTGGATTTCAAACGCTCATAAAAATTAAATTTTTATTTCCGGTAGATATTTTTTCATAAAACTAGACAACCTTATGAAGAATCTTGTACTAAATTTTTAAATTTTAGAATTTAGATTTAAAAAGAAAAATTGTTATGAATTTCTAACAAAATAATTTGCACATTTTCTTTATTTTTACGTATTTTCTATTCTGTGATGATACACAGAAATTTTGTTATTTTCTATCAAACACGATTTGCTTATACCTAATACATAAAACAATAATTTATATATTATTTACAAATATATTTTATCAATATTACGTATCATGTAATTTATTAATTTATATGGTATTCGAAGATGTACTCGCGTCTTTTAGTCTAAACTATCTATGTCCTATACTCATTCATAGATTGCTAGATGTATATAGTATCCTAAACATGAGTTTTTTTTGTAATACGATTTGAATAAATGTATGATATAACAGATAAATAATCCATATAGCCTATTACATGGCAAAGGTCAATCATTCGCTTGATCGGTATAAATTTTATATTTTTATTTGTTATCAACACTTATCGTATTCACGTCGTCGCCCGTCGGTAACATGAAAGAGGGTGAGTATCTAAATAATAATTATTTAATTATTCAATTATTGATTATAAATGATGACAGTAAATATCAAAGTAAATGAACACAAATATTGTCATTCTGTCCAACTGTTAACATCAGTAATAACTTAGATTTTCGATGGAATTTTATTACGATTTTATATTGTTTTAAATTTTTTTTAACGTGAAAATTGATCAACCCAAAAAAACAACTCGTCGCTTCCCATCAAAAAAATTATCAGTTAAAAAATCGCTGAGTTCTCGAGTGATGAATATTCTAGGAATTCGTGCTAAAACTAAGTATAACTGTTTATTATATTATTATCAAATATGGTTATTAATTTGACTAAATTTGTGTGAACAAAGTCCCAACCCAGATATCGTAGAACCTGTTGTGGAATCTTTTTTCTTAGGTGCTGACAATCAACCACCATGCTCATCGAGAGAAACAATTAGATACATTTTAATAATTTATAGCCATCTAAGTTTTATTGTATGAAAACTAAAACTATAATTATTTTTTATTTTTTATTTATAATACATATGTTTTATTAAATTTTTTTAGCAAAATGGTGGATTTGAGGGATAATGAAACTAATGATTGGGGTACTGAAAAAGTTTTACATAACTTGACATTTGATGAATTTATATGTAGTAATCAAGAAACCAAGTATGATTTTTAATCTAAAATTTGATTGAATATATGAGTCTACTAATTCGCGAATTTGTTATTATTTTTGAAAAATCAGCGTATTTCATCCGTTTTCAAATATTGGTTATAACAGTTTTAAAAATTAAATATTATTATTTAAATGTTATAACAGGCCATGCGATGTAAATAAAAGTTCAGGAAGACAAATAGTGGATATACATTACGTTTTTAGTCAAATTAAAAATAGTGTTCATCAAGGGTCATTTGGTTGTTCATTTTTGAACATGACATTTATAATCTGAAAAAACGACACGGATTTAGATTAACATTTAGGTTTCAGAATTTGCATATTTAATGGGCGGTGGACCAGGGTTTATCGCAATATCGCAATAAAAGTCAGTGAAATTATCTACTTGATAAAATGTAAAAAATTCAACGTAGAAATTTCACAAAATAAAAAAAATTGTTTTAATGAACCGCCAGTATTATATAATAATAAAACATAATTTATGGCGCCCAAAACCCAAATTTTACAGCAATTTGGAACACAGGTGTACCGCAATGTGCTTTTACCACCTGCGTTAAAATTGGGCGGTGATTGGTTTGCCGTTCTGTCAAACATACAAGAAATTAAAAAACCATAAAGGCTTAAACCGGCCATGTCCTGGACATGGTCGTATAGAAGTCCAGAATATACGCAGGATACAATGAATGCTTTCCAACAGCATATATTGTTCCTGCAAGAAGTGAAAGCTGCTACGAATAATATAATCTGACAATCTATGGGATATGATACCACTAACCAAGATCTGCAATTCAAATATTTGATAGATGAAAACACGCATCAAACCTTTGGGTGGAGTACGAAGCTTTTAGCAGGATTTTTTTCTAGCATTACCCATAACTTAATACTCCAGTCTCATAAACAAAAACACATTAAAAATCAAGAGTTTGATGACGACTCTTTGGAAAGAAAAAATGTTCAGCGTTATAATAATAAAACCAATATTTATCCAAATCTTCCGTTTAAATGGTTTAAAACCGTCAAAATTAAAAAAATATTTGTACCCACCCATTTTTATTTAGAAATATTTGTATCATATGTATTTATTAATATATTAAATTATTTAGTTTGTATAAAAATTAATTTTATATGTAACTATAAATATTGTTACAGGTGGTTTTTTTTTTATTACAACGCAAAATAAATACGTAAAATGTTAATTGCATAATGTTATGTATTATATTTCATTTTATTATTGTATACATAACTATGCAAATTTTATATAGATAATTTCAGGTACATATTATGACATTTTTAAAATAAAAGCATAGGTGTACTCGTAATATAAAATTATAGTAAGTCAGTTATCCATTATCTATATGAACGCTAGCATTAATTTTAGTTATAAATTATTATAAATTGTCATTAATCCAAATGTTGTGTTTTAATTAATTATTATGTATAAATAAATGTGTTCTGTACATTTGTAAGTACCTACATAATTTAATTTTAATTTATATATATTATATGAACAATAAAAATGTTTAGTTTATACATATTGTTTTTTTTACGTATAGGTACTGCAATTGCAATAATATAAATAATTATATTATTACAGTAGGTATTTATTTAATAAATATTATGTACAACAATCAACTTCATATTTTATGTAGGTATTATGTTTAAAATTAAAATAAGTAAATACATCAATATTTACTAATCAGAACTATTTAAAATGTTATTAATAAATAAAAATTAAATTATCGAACAAAAATTGCTTCATGTCATTTATAAGTTACAACGTAAAATACGTAACACTTTTACTAAAAAATCTATTTAATAGTAATGAAATTATTATTTTACATGTATTTTAAAAAGTAATTGGTTTAGAAATATAAATCGAGTTCTGGTGTATAATAATTTGTATGCTTAATTTATTGGTTAATATTTTTAAGCAAACAGGAGCTTTAATTAAAAAATAGGTTTGCGACTTGCGAGCTAGTAGCGAGTCAGCGTACCGTATAGAATTCACGGGCGACAATTTACGTAATGGCCTGTAATGACGTTTGACGCGAAACGTCTAAACGACAGTCCGTGAAATAATAATGTACCCATAGACAAGTATATAATATAAAGGCCGGTTTACACTTATCGAAGTAGCCACGTCCGTGAACCACGAATCAGTGTAACTTTGATTCGAGCACTGACGACAGTGTTTACACTACATTTTGTCTGTCCAAATAAATAAAATAAAATTAATAAATTTATCAGTAGCCAAAATGGAAGCAGAACTGGCAGACGTAGTGTTATCAGTCTGCGGAGTTTTAGCTCAAGAGTGTGCAAACGAAATTATTTCTAATCGTAAAAAGAAAAGAAAAATATGGGTGCGAGATTGGGTTGCCAGGCGAAATATTTTAGGTGGATCAAATACATTGTTAACGGAGCTCCGAGTGGAAGACAGACCAGGTTTCATGAACTATATGAGAATGAGCGATGGCCATTTTAATATTTTACT